GTTACAATTTGCTGTCCTTCTCTCTCTGACTCCCATCTGTCCCTTCACCTCCCGCAGCCCTCTATTCAAACGTTCAGCCCTTCCCTGGACACTTCCTTTAAAAATCTGCCAGACCCCTGGCCGTCTTCCCTGTGTCTGCCCATTTCAGCACTTCCATGTGAACATCATGACAGGCTGACTTTTATCCCCTGCTCCACCCCAGTGCTTACAGCAGTTCCTAGTAGGCACTCATTACATGTTAATATAGTTAATGAGTGATCAAATTAATTAAATTCAGAATCAGGGAGGGCCATGTGCAGAGCTCCAGTAGCCGGAAGTCCAGAAGATGTGTGTACTGGTTTTCTTCTTGGCAATAACAACCCATCACAAAGCGAGTGACCTAGGACAATACAGACTTTTTATCTTACGTGCCCAAGCCTATTCCACTGGGTGAGAATCAAGGCTGTGTTCCTTTTCTCTGGCCACAGAAGAATCTGCTTGCTTGCTGTTTTGGTCTCTGGGTCTGCTTGTGTTTCTTGACTCATTCTGTACACACACACACACACACACACACACACACACACACACACACACACTGACTTCCTCTTCAGCTCCTCCTACTTTTAATTGTACTGGACCCATTTGGATAATCCAAGATAGTTTCTGGTTTATAACCATCTGTAAAGAACATGTTCAGGGGGCTGGAGAGATGGCTCAGTGGTTAAGAGCATTGCCTGCTCTTCCAAAGGTCCTGAGTTCAATTCCCAGCAACCACATGGTGACTCACAACCATTTGTAATGAGGTCTGGTGCCCTCCTCTGGCCTGCAGACATACATGCCGACAGAATATTGTATACATAATAAATAAATAAATATTTTAAAAAAATAAAGAACATGTTCAGCGCCCCTCCAGTTGGTAACCTAGTGCCACAGGTTCAGAGGACTCAGGATGTGGATACCTTCGGAAATCTATTATCCTGTCTACTCTAGGTACTGACAAACAAGATGGGCATATTTAAAGATAATTGTGGAGGGCCTTGTCTGCAGTTCAGAGAGTTTGAGCTTGCTCAGAGTTGTTGACAACTGTGGCTTCCCACCCCGAGCTGGGATGTGCCTTCTTGATGTTTTGGACATTAAGGTGGTCCTTGGAGGTAGATTCACTCCACCCTGACTAAAGGTCAGAGAATTCAAGCACACTCTGCTCCTTCTTTTGAAATAGGATGTTTCACCTGGGGAGTGGCTGCCTTCAGGATACTTAGTTTATGGTGGGTTCACTGCCTAAACAACAGAATGCTTTTCTTATGAATTAATAGCTTGATATCTCAAAGTATGGAAGCAAGTAACTGTTCTAGTTGTCCTTTGTGTCATGTTAAAGCAGTCTTTTGTCTTCCTCCCTTTTTGTATTGGGGTATAAAAATATATGAAAAATTAAACAGTGGCGAACTCAGAACTTGGCACCCCAAAATTCAGCATTCAGTATTTGCTAAATCGCCCTCCTGATGCTATCCCGTGTTCTGTGTTTCTCATCTCTATTCCTCCTTCCCTACTTTTCTAACCCTTATGTCCCTACCCTGGAACATTCAAGCCTGCAGCAGCTAGGAGCCCAACAAGTCACCCCAGAAAGGTGGCTTCACCCAGATAGATAATTGAGCATGGTGGCTAAAGCAGGAAGATGAGAGGGTCAGACTAAGACCAGGAGATGAACATGAACTTGGAACAAGAGCACAGAGGGAGACTGATGTGCGCCTCTCCACAGGCACCCCACTTGCACCCCTTCTGTGGATACAAAGCTGGATTTTCCTGTAGGGTTTCCTAAAAGTAGAATGCCTGTGCGGAGTCTTCCAAAACCATCTTCTGGTGCACACACCCATGGCACATGCACATGGCACAGACAGAGAATGAAAAAGCCCCGGTTCACAACACATAGCACTCTGCTCTTATATGCGTACCATCTACCTCAGCTGAACTTGGAATCTTGTTTCCTTGGTTTTCTGTGCCTCTCTCTCTCTCTCTCTCTCTCTCTCTCTTTCTTTCTTTTTTTTCATTTATTTTTACCTGACCATAACACCGGGGTGATGTGTGTTTTCCTCTGGTAACACAGAACTAACTTATTCTGAAAGTGGTTCCCATAGGAATTGCTCTGTCCTAAGGAGGCACATTGAGAGTCTCCAGGAAAATACCTGTCCTTTCTCTTGGCCATCACCCATTCTTGCCTCTTCTCAGTTTCTGGACTAGCTCCTCCTGGACACCATCAGAGCATTGTGGATACAGAATGATAGATGGAGCGGTGTCTGCAGTGAGCTTTCATCTTCCGAATGTCCTCTTGGCAGCAGCACTGTCCCACAAGACATCCTGTGGACATAGCACTGGTCAGTGTGCTGTCTAGGGTGTGGCCACAAGCTCTCGAAATGTGGTTAGTACAGCTGAGGAGCTGGGCTTTTTACTGAATGTTGTTTTAAGCAATTTAAGCTGCAAGAGTCACAAGTGGCAGGTACCCAGTGTGGCAGATGATGTAAAGTAACAACTTGCTGAGCATGCCAGAGAGACCACAGCGGAATTGTGGGAAGCAGAGTGCATGACAAGAACACAGCCTTTGGGGATCAGACTAGGTTTATACTTTACTTCCGTGATTTTGTGATTTTTACTTATTCTGTTTTTGACAAATCTTATAATCTTTCTGGATCGAGTTTCAGACTCAAAGCTTTATCCATGGATACTAGGCGTGCAGGAGTTGGTGGTGGACAGTGGTGTATACCATGTGACCTGAAGGGGGAGAGTGTTAAAACTGAAACCTTGAAACTGAAATCAGATTTTCTTCTGTTGCTTTTATCATCACTTTCCAGGAGTCTACAGACCTGGGGGTCCTCACTGCCTGGCTCAGGGTGGACTGCACCCACCCCCTACCCATGAATACACCAGGGATGGCTTTACCTACATAAGAGCTGTGTAACAATGCAGTGGGGTGGTATTGGTCCACACCCAGTGCCATGCCACGCCACACACCTGTCCTGTGCCCAGCTCTCCGCTGCATGCTGGGGGCTCATTAGTCTACAGAAAAGGTAGACGGCCTGCTTGGGAGCTACGAGAGCAGGCATTTAATCAACAGTAGCATACCGTTTCCATGGCTTTTTCCTTTAACATTTTTAAGTCATTAAAATATCAGACTTGTTTTTTACTGTGGAAGTCAGGACAGTTCCGCATGAGTATATCCTCCTTTATCCTAGCTGTGTCAATAAGCCCTGCTGGGTCACTATTCTATTTCTTAATAAATAATGGTGTAGAGGAAGTGTGTGTGTGTGTGTGTGTGTGTGTGTGTGTGTGTGTGTGCGCGCGCATGCGCGCACGTGTGCTTTAAGTTCCATGTGTATGTGACTTGTGTGGTTGTGCACATCTGTGAGTGTGGGGGCTCTTAGAGTCCAGAGGAGGGCACTGGCTCCCCTGGAGCTGGAGATACAGGTGGTTGTGAACCATCCATTATAAGTGCTTGGAGCCAAGCTCAAGTCCTTTAGAAGAACAGAAGTGTTCTCAAGAACTGAGCCATCACTCCGGACTCAAATAATAGCTTTATGAGAAATCTCTCCCTAGTTTCTTGAGGTTTCTTGAGGTATAATTTATTTTCTTGAGGTTTATATTTTCTTGAGGTTTATTGAGGTATAATTCACTTATTCTGTTCCCTCGGTTTACAACATCTAAATCAGTGGATTCTGTTTATCTATCTATCTCTATCTATCGATCGATCTATCTATCTATCTATCTATCTATCTATGGTTTTTTGAGATAGGGTCTCTCAGTAGCTATGGATCCAGTCCTGGAACTCACTCTGTATACCAGGCTGGTCTTGAACTCACAGAGATTCACTTGTCTCTGCCTCCCGAGTGCTGGGATTGAAGGCGTGCGTCACCAATGTCCAGCTAAATCAATGGGTTTTAGTCTCTTTACAGAGACCAACATCATGATCAATTTTAGAGCATTTTATTATCCCTGAAGGAACCCTACCCATTAGCAGCCACTCCCCAATTCCTCCTATGTTCTAGCCCTAATCAGCTACCAATTTGCCCCTGTCCCTGTGGATTTCCCAATCTGGGAATTTCATATAAAGAATCATGTAACATATAGTCTTTTATTGTATTTTATTTATATTTTAATATTATTTGGGGGGTATATGTATGCTAGGGGACACGTGGGGCTCAGAAGATAACTTCTAAGAGTCAGTTCTCTACCCCCACCACGTGGGTTCCAGGGCCTGACCGTCTCGTGTGGCAGCAGCCACCTTTACCCTTTACTGGGTTGTCTCACCAGCTCAAAATGACTGGCCTTTCCCTCTCAGAATAATGTTTTCAAGGTTCAGTCATGTTATCCCCTATGATAATGCTTTGTTCCTTTTATTATGAGTAATATTCTGTTGTGATGAGTTTTTATTTATCTGTCCATCATCAGATGATGGACATCCAGGCTGCATTATTTTTGGACCACGGCTATTCGGGCACATGCTGTGGTTGAACATGTTCTCATTTCTCGTGGTTGCCTGCCCAGGAGAGCGAATGAGATGCTAACACTGTTGGTAACGTGGCGTTTCTGTGTTTGCTAGAAGCTTCCTAGGACACCTGCCACTTAAGTGCAGCAATGCGGTGCTCCATCACAGGTTTTCTTGACGCAGATGGTAAGGAGCACAGATAGGTCAATTGTCTGAGGTGCTGAAAAGACCACTTTTCAAAGCCATGCCGCTCGCTCTACATATCTACCGGCAGAGCATCGGCTGTTCAGCTCCTCTGCATCCCTAATGATACCTCCTGTTCCTCGCTTGTCTATAGCAAGTCAGGGCTGTGCTGCTGGGCAGGAGGTGGCATCTCACCGTGGTTTTGAATTGAGTTTCCCTAATGATTAATGATGCCGAGTATGTTTTCATGTGCTTGTAGGCCATTTGTTTGTCTTTCTTGGAGAAATGTCTGTTCAAATCCTTTGCCTGGGTTTTAATTGGGCCATTTGTCTTCTTTGCCTGTCTTCCCATTTGGCCCAAACAGGATGCTGATATGCTGACGGGTGATGAGCAAATATGGAAGGAGGTTCAAGAATCGCTGAAAAAGATCGAAGAACTGAAGGCACACTGGAGTATCCTTTCAGCTGTGGGCTGAACCATGCTGGTGGTTGCTGCTCTACTGGGAGCTTGGTGCCACTGGAGCCAGGGCCCGGTCTGAAAGCTCTGGTGCTGCATCCTGGCACAGCCAGCAATGTGGGGAAGCACTCAGGAGAACCTCAGTAAGATCAGCCTAGTTACCTTGCAAATACATTACTACCAGTTAATAGTATGGCCCTGTCATAGTGGGAAGGTAAGTTGCTGGTGTTTTGTTTTGTTTTTTCTTAATCCTCCTCTTCCTCTTCTTCCTCCTTCTACTTCTTTTCTGTGCGAAAGGTAAAACTCATAGACTTCTCCCCTTTCTCCTATAACCACTTTAATCTCTGGGAAGGAATGTTAGAGTTCTTATAAATTAATACCATTGACCCTCAGACCTATCACCCACCACGAAACAGCAGCAATGGGGTTCTCCATCATGCATTTTTTGGGATGAATGATAAGGAACACCAATAGATCAAAGTTGAGTGCAAAGGGAGATAGCATATGATGGGGTCGTCTGGGATGACCCACTGGTGCTTGGGGACAGGATTTGGATAGGCAGATGCTGCGGCCGAAGTCACTTGTCTGTAGAGGACCCCTGGATGCAAAGGTGAGGGGGGAACTACAGGTAAGAAGGAGACTGTAGAATGTGCAGAGGTCACCAAAAGGTCATCAGATGCTTTGGGTTGAACACATCCCAGGCACTAACAAAATCTGCAAATAAAGTGTCCATTCCATAATGCCGTTAGAGTATTGTGAAGGGCGAGAAGACAGGTAGGGTCTCCTTCTAATAGTAAAGTGTGTGATTACAGAAATCATTAGCTCAGTGGGTTTGTCCATTAGTTCAGTAAGTCTGACTGATGAACTACAGCTGGCTAGTTATCAAGACAAGAAGGCTGCCGTGGCCAGGCTGCTGCATGGATTTACCTAGAACAAATCCATCCACAGAGTGGGTTTGTTTTTTTTTTTTGGTAAAATTTGCATCTAGATTTCATTAGAGGTGTTGCAAAGAAGTATGAAGACATTGGTGTTCTATGCGAGCAGACCGAGGCATCTTCGTCAGTTAGCAAATGACACAAGCGTCGCTCTGGGGTGCTGTGTGTCCTCCACCTTTGCTTCAGTACCTGGAATGAGGAGACCTCCCAAGCATGTAGAGATGGGAAGGAAAGCAGAGGAGGAACAACAGGATCAAGAGCGCAGTGGTTCCTTGGTACTCTGAATAGTGACTGAACGTCAGAAGATGAGCTTTGACAAGAGTGTGTATAGAGTCTTCTGTTTGGGGCAAGAAGCTGAAGCATGTAAGTCTGCATAAAGCTTGGCAGCAGAACACACGAGAGGATTGCATGGCTTTGGTAAACAGGAAAATTTAATAAAGTGTACAAGTATGTTATAACTCCTCAAAGACAACTGGGATCTTGGGCTGCAGTCATAGAAATATAAAATGAGAATATAAATGAGAAAGGAGATGGCTTTGGGCTGATCCTATGTAGAATCTCAGATTCAGTCTGGGGTATGGCATATTAATAGGGCTGTAGAGAAATTAAATTTGTTACGAGGAATGGGTCAGAGTGAAGGAGGAGTCTGAAACTCTCCCTGTCAGTGTGAAGAAAGGTAGTGGGACAATAGCCAGATCTGGGTGACACTCATGGGTCTAGAGTTACCACACTGCTGAGGAGTCCTCTGTGGTCCTGCTAATCGGGCCATAGAGGACCACAGTTCAGCCTCCCCTGGATGAGGCTTACGTGGAAACTGACCCTGCCAGGGATTTGGCTCATTCTCAACTACCTTGTGATTCAGGCAGAAAGTACAGAGTTCAGTCTAACGTTAACAACTCTCGTGTAGTGGGATAGTCATTTTGCAAACCACTATGGGCTGTGATTCAGATGAGTTTTTCTCAAAGGTTCTCCTGGGAGGTATGGCAAACTTTTAAGGGGTGGGGCCTACTGGGAAGTCATTGGGAGGATACCTTCAAGGGAACCATCAGGTCCTGGTCTCTCACCTCACTCTGCTTCCTGGCTTGAAATGTCAATCTTTTTCTGACAGCCACTCCCACCTTTACCATCTGGTGCCCTCACTGGAGGCCAAACCAATGGGGCCATCTGAACTTGTTCTTGAACCTCCATAACTACAAGCCTATCATTGCTTCATAAGGTATTTGGCATCAGATATTTCATTATAATTGTGCAAAGCAGAATAATACAATACATATTTTGGTGAAGATACCCATGCATACATACACACACACACACACACACACAAACAGAGAGACGGAGGAGGACTTCAGGCCAGCCATGGAGGAGAGTGCTCAGAGGAAGAATTTTGCTGCTACACAGAAGCTGACATGGTGCCACACATAAGGAAAGAACCTGCCGGAAATGGGCACAGGGGCTTTGCTTTTATGCGAAGGGACCCAGAATGATGTCAAGCAGAGTAGCATGGCTAGATGGGCATAAACCCTGTTCTGGCAGCCTGTGTTAAGAAGATGACTAACTCCCAAGTGACTTCCCTCCCTTGTCTGTCTGTCTTTCTCCACCCTCCAACAGTAATTAGGAGTATTTGAATAAAAGCCCCGATTGTGCCCTTGGGGTCCTCTTTGGTACAGCGCTCACTGGAACCGTGGTTATAGTAGGCACCGCAAGTGGCATGGACCATCTCTGAGCAGATCCACGTCTGCATTCACTTGGAAAGAACCTTGTAGTTAAAATTGTTCCTCCCTCCCTCCTCCCTGGAGCAGTTAACATGAAAAGTTTTACCCTTGTTTGCCAGGAGATAGTTGCCAATATTGTGGAGGGAGGTTGGCAAGGAGTCCTTTCCTGCTTGGCATAGGGTGTGTGACTGTATTCCTGTGAGTGGATGCGGAATAGCACATCTGGTTTCCACCTGTAAGGCGTCTCACCTCAGCCTCTTGGTGAGGTGGATCACATTATGGAAATGAGCAGACAAGTGACAATGCGGACCCAGCAAACAATGTGGCGATAAGGCCCAAGCGTTGCCACAGATATGTCTGGCATTGTGTAAGAGACAGCCATTTCTCCTGACAGCTTGTCAAACATCTAATCCCGAAATGAAAAGCCACAAGGTTAGCATGGCAGTCTGTTTCAAAATCAGCACATTGCCTGAGAAACCACTTCCCCCAACCTCTGGAGGATCCGTTCAACAAACACGAAACATCCATGTCGCAGGAATACAAAGGAAAATCACCAGCTGTCAATAACATCAAATCACCGTCTTCAGGACATGAACCCCTTCTGGAATCAGAGCCAGGGCTCTCCCCTAATAGATGACATAAAGAGCCAACATAAAGAGCCCTCAGCTTGCAGTTCTTCCCAAGGAAGTGATGCTCTGGAGTGAGGTGTTGTGCCTCAGCTGAGAAGAAACATCTCTCCTGGTAGGTTCATGAAGATAGTATTCCCCTTTCACTGGGGTCTTGGCCGGTAACGGAAGCAGACTCTGCAGGCACGGGCAGCCGAAAACGGATTTCGTGGAGAGGTAGAAGGAACTTTGCACACATGGGCTGTCTGTCCAGGCAAGGCTTGCCATGTCAGGACACTGATGGAGAGGGCTTGCGGCAAGGTTTAGGAGGAGTTGGAGCCCTGAAGAGACAGGTAGGATGGCGGGGGGGACCCCGCCCTCCAGGCTCTTCCATCCTCCAGCCTCTTTCCCTTCAGTCTGTCAGGCTCAGGGGTTGTGGCCAGAAGGAGAAGTGAAAGATTGTCATATCTCTGCCATAGGCTTCGTGTACCCCAGGAAACTTCCCAACCATGTCCACGACACCCGGAACTCTGCCTAGCTCACAAGAGGACACAAAAAGATTCTTCCCCATTTTTAGATTTGATTTTCACTGAGACAGGTGTTTCATTTCCGGCCTACCTCAAAACATTTGACTTTCTCGGGGCTCCGCATTTGACAGACGGTAGAACAAGCATAGGTTTGAACCAAGCTCTATCGATGATGAAGATCTGTACTGTTCCTTCTGTCGTTTGAATCTTTACATGTTTTTCTCCAAGTGGAATTCTAGCATCAGAGCCGAGAAGTACAGAGCTATAGAGGTAGGAAATTAGGAGGTGGGTAGGGAGATGCCTGGTCTCAATATGGCAGGGCATTGGAGGAGTTGGGTCCCCCGCATGTACCTTCAGCTGGTGGTGGAGGAAGCCCCATGTTTACAGTCCTCCAGCAGCCTCTGTAAGAGAGTGGGGATATCAGTCAGCAAAGGTGAGGTTAAAGGCTGGGCCAAATGCCACATACCAGTAGGCCCAGTTACTCAAGAGACTGAGGGATACTGGTTTACCAGAGCTGGTGATTTGAGGCCACCCTGAGTAGCAAGGTGCAACCCATGGGGAGTGGAATATCACATGGTGGCTCCATGAAATTAATTAATGACTTAATTGACATGTGGTTAATCAAAGTTAGTGCTACTGATCCTCTTGCTCTTTTTAAGATACCATTTTCCCTTGTTTATATATATGGTTTATATATATGGTACATATATATAAACTGTTCTTGATTTTTTTTTTTTTTTTTGCTTTTTGTTGCTTTTTGAGACAGTAAATCTCTATGTAGCCCCAGCTGTCCTGGAACTTGATATGTAGTCCTGACTGGCCTCGAACTCACAGAAATCCGCCTGCCTCTGACTGCCAAGTACTGGGATGAAAAGTGTGCACCACAGTGCACAGCTTTTAACATTTTCTTTCGGTGTTTGAGTTGAAAGGAAGAATGCAGTTCCTTGAGTTAAGTATAGGTTTGGGATCACTTTTGTTTTCTAGTAAACACTAAATATAAGGCCCCCTGGAACTGCGTGTCTTCAGATGACGACCTCGCCGGTTGCAGGCCTGAGCACGGGTGTGGGTTGTCCTCCGTGCATGTCCAGGACTCAGATGAGTCAGGAGCAAACACATGCTTCTCCTTTCTCAGAAGAGATTCTCTCTTTTAAACAGAAATAATTCCACAGTAAATAATTGGAAGCTGAACGAGAGCTTTAGTCCAGTCTACTAAACACCTTTCTTCATTTCCCAACTGAGTCGAAGGAAAAAGCGTGTGGACGTGTGAAAAGGGGACATTTCCTTGGGGATTTTAATTGTCCTAAAGTACAGCCTGGGTTAGAGGATGGTTTGTTGATGTAAACAGAATTTCCTTCGCTAAGATGGTACTTGAATGTGTTTTTGTCTCTCAAGTATGTTTCCAGGCAGCTCATCTGTGCAGAATAATGGGCGCCTCCTCCCCCCTGTGCCTGGGAGCTCTTCAGCCTTTTAGACATCTCCACTTCCTTCTGTGCTTTCTTGATGAAGACAATGCATCCTTAACTAAGTTAATAACAGAATGGGAGCAGGTTCTGGCCCTCTGCCAGGCGATCATAAGCAGCAACTCGGAACGGCTTCCCGACATCAACATCTACCAGCTGAAGGTGCTCGACTGTGCCATGGATGCCTGCATCAACCTGGGGATGCTGGAGGAGGCCCTGTTCTACGCCATGCGCACCATGGAGCCCTACCGGTGAGTGCAAGGCAGAGCCGACACCGGGGTCTTCGCCGTTTGCGCAGGGTGATGGCCGCTGTTAAGTCACCCGGACTCTGCTCTTATATCAAGTGTCCCACTGGCTTTCAGCGTGTGAAGCCAAGCCTTGTTCCATCCATCCATTCCTTCACACACTTATCAGTCACTGGCGAAGCTGTTCCCAGGTTCCGTGCACTGTGCTTGTTCAGAAGTGAGTCAGATACCATCTCTTTGTGGAACAGGTGGTTATAAAACAGTGTGGGGCTTGCAGTGACAAAGGCGAGCAGGCCGGGGGCAAAGAGTGACTCGGTTCTGTGGTTGGATCACTGGTCCAGGTGAGGGAGGCAGATGTGCTGCTCTTTCATTGGTTTACAATAGTGATGGTTCCAGAATGGATATTTGCCAGAGTACTTGTATACAGATTGTTGACCCTTCTAGCCAACTTGTGATTATGTAGTCAACTACTGTTCTCCAATGGGTCATTGTGTCAGAGAAGAATCTATTGGTGAATTACGGGTAATTCATCACTCTGTGTGTGTGTGTGTGTGTGTGTGTGTGTGTGTGTGTGTGTGTGTAGCTCTATGACCCAGGCTAGCCTCCAACTTGTGATCCTCCTGCCTCAGCACCCTTTCCAGTACTGGAATTTCAGGACTGTGGAGCTTGACTGCTTCTTGTCTCAGCTCAGCTCCTCCAGGTGGGTGGGTGTTTGTTCCTGGCTGGCCTTGTAATGTGGAGGGGCTTTGAGGGGAAAGGGAGGTTGAAAGCCAAGTGCTGGAATTTTGACACTGCTGGCCGTGGGGCTCCAGTTTTCTCTGGGCTGAGAACAGAAATTGAGCCTGGGAGCAAGCCAGTGGGGAGGACATGGGGCAGATGAATAATCTGAGATCAGGCTGCCCAGTCCCCGGCACAGGACAAGATTGCCACAGGGAAGACCTGGATACCTGGGACATAATGGGGACAGTAACAGCAATGCAGGACACCATTCCTGGAGGATGTAAACCTCCCCATTCTGTAGATGATGCCAGCACAACCCAGCCAAAGAGGGCGAAGCCCAAGGGGATTCCAGGTCTAGACCTACGGGACATGGGACAACAGGTACAGGGAGCCGTTAAAAGTGAAACAGGTGGGGCCCAGCCTGTCCCCCCTGGAGGGGAGCCTGAGGTGACAGACGACAAGAAGGGGCAATTACCAGGCTCTGCGTGTCAAGAACAGAAGCAGGGTTAGGATCTAAGCTGTCAACAAGGAGAGAGATAGCAGACCTGTGTGACCCGAGGTCAGTGGTGAGATCTGGGTCAGGACGAGACGTGGGCCTACTAGAGCCTGGAGATAGCCACGGCCCCACTACCAAGTAGATGTCAGAGACACGCAGGCCAGCCAGGGGCACCAGATCCAAGGGTGTTTCCAGACTTTGGCAGGTGGCTGCTTTTGTTCCCTTGTGGTGAACGGCTTTGGAGCTGTCTGAGTCAGCTTTAATCTAACTGCCTGGAGGGCTGAGACCGGAGACTTTCCCATGAGCTGTGGAATGTCTGTGCAGGGTGAGGAATCTTGTGGGTTTTCTGAAAGTATGAATCGAACACAGAGAGATAAGGCTGCTTTCTCAGAGCCTTACTGGGCGTTGACACGCCAGGCAGACCCAGATGGTTGGCACAGTCTCCGAAGGCTGGGGCTTGGCTTCAGGAGCTCAGAATATAAGCAGCACAGTAAATGGATGGACCCAGGCCAGGAACTACAAACTGAGAAATTCCACCTTTCTCCAAGGCTCTGTGGCAGCCCTGGTTCCCCACCCCTGGCTGGTCTGGGGAACAGATTCTCTTTGCCCCAGGGTCCCCTTCTCTTTACCATCCAGGCAATCCTGCCAAGGTCAGTCTGAAACAGTCATTTATATTGCCCTACCAGAAGGCCCTAACAGTCCTGAATGCATTTTGAATCTTTTGTCAACACTTACAGAGACTTCTACACAGTGTTGACCCAGCCCCAGTTAGTTGGCAGTTTGATTGGCCAACACTTGAATCACACAGCTTTTCGCATAGGTGAAGCCAAGTCCTACCACAGCATACTCCCTTGCGTTGGAGAAACTTTTGGTTGTATTTTTTGTGGTGTGGGCCAGCCAGCCACATTCTCTCTGTAAATGCGTGTTCTGTCCTTGTGCACAGCATCAGGTTTCCAAACAAGTCAGTCTCTGCTCCCTAGAGCTCTGTAAGAAGTTCCCTGCAGCTTGCTGTGCTGTTCCACTTCCTGTGAGTGGGACTTGTGGATCAACCGGCAGAGCTCTGTGGAAGCAAAGGCTAGGGACAGTCGAGAACCAGCACAGTTCAGAGAAACAGGAACACACTTTGTTCTTTTCCCTGGAGCTCAGGGGAAGTGAAAGATCACGTGACAATCTAGGAACAAGAAGGGAGTGGGACGGTGGCAATGGTTTTATATGCTGTCACCTACACAGTGGCCTGTGGCTACTCTTGAGGGGGCTTTTGCTTCCATTTAGCCAAGGGCACAGACAGTTAGCTAGGTCTGGGTTACTGAGAGGTGATTAGATTGCCATCTTCAGGAATAATTTGACAATGTCAATCTGCTGTTTGCTGTGCCTGGATTGAGGTCAAGTCTCTACTAGTGAGCATTTTGTCATTCATGACCTCAGCTAAGCTTTGGCTGTTGACCTTGGAGGACAGAGTCCAGATCCTATTTTTATCCAGCCCACTGCTTTCAACCCCTGTTTTGTTACTCACTTATTTTTACTCAGTAGATCTTACTTAACTTTATGATGCAATTTAATACAGACCTTTTTTTTTATTAAATCTTCCACAAGGCAAGCTGGAAATACAACAAAATGTCTAGATCAGCTTCTAAGAATATGAACCTCATTGTTTTAACAGATACATTGTGTCATCTCAAATTGTGCCATAATTCTATTCCCATTCTACTCAGTGTGTCAAACAATGCCATGATTCACATCTAACCAGGTGATTCTTCTTTGCATACCGATGTGGTCAAATCTGCACGCCATATGTGTACGAAACTGCTCACCTGCCCTACCGTAAGTTATACTCTTTTAAATTTGGCTAGCTGTCACCAAATTGTGCCCTACTCACCACAAGGTCACTTCTTCCTTAAGGGAATATGAGAAAGGATTAATCTGTTCATTTATTATTGTATTATTCCTGATCTAAATTCATTTCAGAGTTTATCTGGGCCTTCTCCATCTTCCTAATCAAAGTCTGGGGCTGAGATTTGTCAATACTCAGTTTTGTTCATAAATAATCCTTTTGTGGTACTTGAGATGACACTGTGTGAGTTACCTGGGGGAAATGCAGAGAAGAAGCAATGAAAAGAACACTCACGGTCTGCAAGAAGACGTCCACAGTCCTGTGCCAAGAAATCTGGAAGAAAAGGGGTGTGGTGTTCACCTGACTGTGCTGGATGATCCAAATCTTCACTTAGTTGCAGACTAAACTATGGCCCAGCTCTGTAGCTTTATTTCTAGAGGAGAAATTCAGAGCTTTTTTTGCACAGAATTATCCAAGGCTCTGACATTTGTTCCCCTCTGGTCCCTCTGTGGAAAACAAAGCTGAAAGGCAGGTCACCATGGGCCTGCTTGTTCTGGGGAACACGGGACTAGCGACTGGCTTCCCAGCCCATTCCTACTACTTCAGACCTCCTGCTTTCGAGTAAGAGCTGTGTATTTGCACAGAGCTCTGGGTGACAAAGGACAGACCTAGGTCAGTCTGGCAGCATGGCAGACCAAATTGTAGTTTCTGCTGACTGTGTCCCCTGGCTTAATGGTAAGACAGAAATGACAGAATGACAGGGCACTGCTGGTGTTTGCACAGCCCCCTGAGGTGATTGCAGTGGCCCCTAGTGTGCTGGACATGAGCAAAGCCCATGTTTCCACACCTCCTGGCCATACAAGGCCTTGCGTTTGACACTCCTGACCGCCAAGAATGGCTGCCTGCCCAGCGTTCAGGAGAGCTGCTTTCCATCTCACTAGGTAGGACTGCCCAATCAGCCATGGCCTTTATCCCACTCGATAGCCCTATGGCTAGATCGCCAGTCCCTGCTCATCCACAGCCACTTCTCATTCCTCCCTGGCCTGTTATGACTGCACTGTGTGGTTGTCGTCCTGTCCAAGTCCATGTGTGAGCTCCCATGTTGGTGCATGCCTGTACTATCCTCAGTCTTGCCTATGGCTAAGCTAGAGTCTTAGGGATCCTTTGGCCAGTGGGAGGTGGGCAAAGGTACCATTTGTACCAACAAATGCTGATCCGTCTCCTGCTCGCCCTCACAACCTGGCTTCTGGATGCTTGATGGGAGCGTGCCAGTCTCCTGCTTCATATACCCAGTAATTTTCTCATCAGAAACGTTTATTGATACTTCTTCCATGTGCAGTGATAAAGTGTCAAACAAACAGGCAAAGCAGAGCACTAGCCCCGATGGGGCTCAGAAATAACGGTCAGCAGCCAGATGTTTATCACATTTGGGTTTTTCCAAGGGAACCAAAAAGCCGAAAGCCTGAGGAGAAATGCTTGGACCAAACCAGGCCTGACCAGTGATGGATGAGATTTTTCTCCTTGGATCAAGTACTTTTGTTTCCTCTGATTCATTGACTGATCTTAACATTTCATTCAGTGTTCTGTCTCCTTCAAGCCTGATATAGACAGGGGGCTATCTCTAGCCAAAGCCTGTGCTATAGCAAGCATGGCTAGCCCTAAATGCCCATTGAACACCACTCTGCCATCCTCTGACCCAACCAACTCCTTAACAAAACACCAACTTCTCCATGGCTTAAACAACAGAAATTTCTCTTCTCACAGCTTTGGAAGTCCAAGGCTAAGTAAGGTACCAGTAATTCTGGGTTTTGTCTGAAGCCTGCCTCCTTAGTCTGCAGATGGTGGGTTTTCATTGTGTCTCTACATGGTACCCCCTCTACAGGGGTACCCCAGAGGTTTCTCTATCTGTCTCAATCTCTTTTTATAAAGCCACAAATTGGATTAAGGCCCGCCCCCAAA